CCTTGCGATCTTGCTACGGTACGAAAAGTGCAAAAACGCATAATCGCACCGGCCCGCCTAGTGCGTCCCAGCCTGGGTTTATTGTAATCCGGTTTTGTAGAACTTACATCGACGCTCTGAACAGCTGCAGTTTCACCTTTTTGCTTTTTTCTTTCCATCGCTGCAGCTGATAACTTTTCCGTTCTGCTGATCTCTGAGCGCCCTACTTGCACGCATCTTTTCATTTCATTGGTGACCTTCCCAGCTCTCCTTCAGCATTGCATGAATACCACTAAATGCTCCGCGTTATGTACGCTTTTATGATCTTTGATTTTTGCCGCATAAGCAGCTCGGATTTTCGTGATGATGTCCGCTACGAGAAGCCGGAGTCGCAAAAAAATCGCTGTTGTTTTGTGTAATCTGGTAACGATTGTCAGGGATTTCTTCATAGTTTATGGATATTTAGTAGAGCAAAAAATGTGTTTTATTGTGAACTCATGGGAGTCGTCTTGGCAAAATTTTTTAAAAATATTTTTTGGATCCTTGCTACTATAGTTTTGTCATGGGCTGATTGGATGTCGAACGAGAATATTTGTGCGACGAAAGCCGCTGCTGCTGAAATACAAGCGAAAAATATTTCTATTTAAGTTTGTTTTCGCAAGTAATTGAAAAAGCAAGAATGATAATGGCAACAACAACAGCAGCGACGATGATAACGGCAATGGTGTTGCCAACGGTAGCAGAAGTGGACACTACACTCACTTTAATGATTGCTGAGGATTCTGAAGACGATGATGATGATGATAACAATATAGTGGTTCTAGAGCAAGAAAGTATTTGCGCACAGAATGGCGAAGGTGGTAAAAGTTGTCAAACGAAGATGCAGATGAATGAGCCCAAACGAGCAGCGCAGCTTGGTAGCAGTAATAAGCCGGATAACATAGCTGTTTCCAACAGGTTTAGATCTTTTTTTTTTTTTTGCATCTGCTTAATGCAGAAATGCATATTGTGGAGAGTACACTGTGTGTTTATA